CGCTGCACTGAACTCTTTAGGAGTTTTTCCGCTCTTATGCCACTCCGTGAATAGACGCGTCGCTGGTGTCATACCGGAAGTTTTCATTGCTAATGACAGTTCGTCCAGGGTCTTTGTATCAACCCAATCAGTCAGCTTTTGGTTGTAATGTATAGCTGTTCTTGCGTCATTGAGTTTACTGATCAAATCCATGTTCTGGATTATCTTGTTGTTCTCCGATAGCTTGGCAACGATGGCCTTCGCGTTGTCTTCGTTTTTCGCCAACTGAGCAAACAAGTCGTCGAGGTTGTCGAAGTTCTTCAGAGTAGTCACGATATCGTCCGAGCTTGCTGCTAAAAGGTTTGGGATTACTTTCGGATCAAGAGGTCCCGCACGTTCTTCGTCGCTAGTGTTGTCTTCCATATCCACATCGTCCATGCCGTAACTTCGTAGGTAGTGCTTCTCGTTTTTCTTCATCTGGATGCTTGTGACCTCCTTAGCCTCATATCCAATAACCAAGGCGCTTGCCAAAACAGCCAGCATAACGAAGTACACGCGCATACTGGTTTTGCCTTGTGTCGAGCACTGCTAGGCAGGTGGATAGTTGAGAAGTGATCTCAAACGTTACTTTTAATAAGTGGACTGTGTTGTCACGTTGTTGGTTATCACGGGATTGTATTTGATTAAGTTTGCTCTATTCGAAAAATAAGTCGCATGCATATTTTTCGAATAGAGCAAACTTGGTCAGAATTCCTGTGCCGTTTCGAAATAACAGCGATTGCATACAAAATCGCTGTTATTTCGAAACGGCTCAGGGCTGCACCGTCTACGGCCCTACAGTAACGAGTTTTTACTCAAACTAATCCTTAGCCGGTTCTCTGAGCTGTCCAAACAAAAAAGTGCGCATGGAAATTTTGAGTCCGTGTCATATCACTTGTCCCCTTCAACTTTTAGCATGTTTCAAAATGCTTGTCCCCTCAATTACACTTATTTTAATTATGGTATGACGCTACCTAATTCATGCATAACCGAGACAGTAGAGTCAGAGCATGGAATGCTCAAAGGAAGTCTTCCCTGTCTTCCCTACCAGCGAAGCTTGTAGGTGATCTCACCGCCTTCGCCTATGCACGACTCCATTGCGCACTGGAGCTCTACGTGGCGGAGGCAAACCTCCTTCATTGCCTCGCGTCGAGGTTTACCAGCAACCAAGCGCGCCAGTATCTCGGAAACGGCCTGCTGGCGCTCTCGTGGTGTCAGTTCTCGTCTTGTGCGCTAGTTAGTCTCAATGGTGGTCAGTGGTTAGTTTCGGAATACTCCAGATATGAGCTAGGATGGGCGACGTCTTTGCCTGTTTGCCATAATTTTGGTTCAAAAAGTACTCGAGTTGCAATCACGGATCGAATATTGGTTGATAGCTGAAGTTCTGCACACCATTGAAATCGCACCGACTCCAGCTTGCATGTAAGGCCAATCCGAGGCCTTTTCGTGTAATATTGACGAATCCCGAGCCAGTCTAGCAAAAGAGGACAAGTAATATGAAACGGAGCAGTACTTACTTTATTGACGTGAGAAAGTGACTATTGCTATAGGGTGAGTTATTTGTCATTTGTATGGGGTCGAATCCTCGTGCTGTACGACCGGCGCAATCATTTTCGAGCGCCTGTCTTCCTATCTTTGATAAGCCTTCAGATACATGTGCAATGATCTTCATGCTTAATATTCTCCTTATTCTAACGTAAAACCTGACGTGTTTGTATAGATTGGTTATGTCCACCCCCTATGCCCATTCTTTGGGAAAAGCAAAGCAATTCTTTATTCCCATCTGGGATGCAGTATGGGCTGTGCAGTTGGTTTTCTAATACCAAGTTGATAATGGTCGACAAACAAATCTTGGATTGGCAGTGCATTGTTCCTGTTCTGGTATTAGCTACATGTATTATAATGATACCACGAAAGCATAAGCAAAGAAGAATGCCACAAGATGAGACACCAAATCACAGCCTCGTTTTTGCCCACCATTTGATTCGACCAAATTGAGTTTTCAGGAACAATCCAGTAGTGGCGTCATGGAGTGCAAATCTGCACAGTTGGAAAAGTCGGAAGGAGCTCTATCACAGAAGGAAAGAAAATCGCACAGACAAATCCGTGAAAAACACAGATTGTGAAAAAGGTGATTTAAAAGAGGGTGGTAGCGAGCGGGTGTGAGGAGCGTAACCGAAGCAAACCCGAGCGGGGGTGCCCGCGAAGCAGGGCCGATCGGTATTTGCGTAGGCGGGCCCTGCGACGAACTCATCAGCGAACGGACCCGTAACACTCACCAGAACATGGTTTTCTAATGCGGGGGTCTGGGGGTGCAACCCCCCAGTATCCTTTTAGCAGTGGCCCTTATCCGGTATACCGATATTTCTGTGGAATTCATCCGTAGGTTCTGTGGATTTGCTTATTCTGTCTGTGCTATTCTACCGCTTACTCTATCACACCGCTTAAACCCAAACCAAACCTTCCTGCGCATTAATCGTATAAAACCGAGCCTGATTTAGCCATACTTGGTCCTAGGTTTACTCCCGCGTCCAGCGCACGAGGGTCTTAACCCACAGGCATGGATTTGTGCTGCCAAGCGAGTTGGTT